TCAAGGCTCTGTGCTTCCTTTGTTGGGGCATACGCCGCCTCGGTTGCTTGGTTTCGCAGTCTATCGTCTGTCCGTCGCTCCCAACACTCCTTTAAGCACGAGTTCACGTGCTGTCGGCAAGCAGAATCCTTTCGGAGGGAGACCAAGCGAGAACAACCAACAGGCAATCCAGCGCTCTGACGCTTCTGCACATACGCCAGCCCACAACCTTGCGAAACGGTTGCCGAAGCGGACACAAGAGAACTACCGCGGCCACAATGACGAGCGCACAGAACCACAACCAATCGCGGGTCGTGCATTGCACCACCGAGCGAGAGTACTGGGAAGCGATCGAGTCGGCCGGAAGCAACCTGGTGGTAGTCGACTGTTTTGCCGAGTGGTGAGTGGTTCGTTTGGATGCAACGCAGCGCAGGGCAGCGCAKGGCAAGGCCATCCACCGAGCGGAGGAAGACGCGAGGCGGGGGTTTTGTTCGGTGTTTTCGTTTCGTTTCCTTTCGTTCCTTTCTCACCACCTCTTGCGTGCGTGCCGCCAAACCTTCTTCCCGGCGCGGTGTGGCAACCCCTCGCACGATCGCACAGGTGTCCCCCCTGCCGGCAGATCGCCCCGTTCTTCGACGCCCTGTCGCTGGAGCACCCGGAGGTCGTCTTTGTCAAGGTGGACGTCGACAAGGTCCCGGGGATCGGCCGGATCCTGGGCGTCTGGGCGATGCCCTCGTTTTTCTTTCTCAAGGACGGAGAAACGGTGGGGTCCTTCACGGGGGCGAGGGAGGGCCTCCTGCGGCAGGGGATCGCCAACGGCGGCCGGGTCGGGGGAGTGTGCTCGTCCTGCGCGGTGCAGTGAGCACGGCGTACAGCATCGGGGACCTTGCGGCCCCGCCGTGGCGTGCCGTGCGGTTTGTTCCGCGTTAGAGCTTTGGAGGTACGGGTACCGTACGCTTCGATGGAATGTGCGAGCATAGCATGGGTACAGCAAAGGCTTTTCCAATGGTGGATTGCATCGAAAACGAAAAACTCCGAGTTGTCCCACAGTAGCGTCGTAATGATTTATTTTATGTATAATATATTATTTCGTGGTTTGTGTTTTTTCTAGACGAACCATGTGTTCGTTTTTCATTTGTTTTGTGTCGTTGCGAGATTGGTTTCCAAAAATAGTGTAGCGAAGTGCATCATGCAACCGAGGCGGCGTGCTCGGAGTGCGTGCAGAGGGGTCTATCGGTGTTGGGGGTTCTGTGTGGTCCGTGGAGTGGAATGAGTGTTGGAGCAAATGCCTTGCTCGCGGTGCAGTAAAAATTGTAGACGGTGGTAGCGATGCATCCAAAGATGCGATGCGGCGGCGATGGCGTTTGGAAGCGATGTATGTGTGTTTATGAAATGTCCCCGGTCTATGGAGCGTTTGTCTTGTGCGGACGGAAGGAATGCCCGGAATCCTAGAGGTCGAGTTCAAAAATGTCTTCCCCGGTTTCGCGCTCGTGCTCGTGCCCGACGCCTCCCGGGCCAAGAAGCAGAGTCGTCTCTTGCGGCTGCTGCGCGGGAGCGTGGCCACCGGCGAGAAAGCCGTCGCCGGCCTCTTCGTCTCCAATGTAAAAGTCGCCGGGCTTTTGGCTGTCCACGCCGCGGTTTTCCTTCCACGGCGCCGCCTCGCTCGCGATGGATTCCACGGGGGGTTGTGGGTGCTGGAGAAACGAGGTGGGGGCAGTCCTTGTCGGCGTTCTTGTTCTCGTCTTTGCGGCGGGGCAGTTCCCGGGTCGCAGATCCTGCTTCTTTTGCTTGGCCGTTTGCTCGAAGGAGCGCGACTTCTGGATGCGTTCCAGCATCCGCAGCGTGTCTTTTTCGTACTCCTGGGCCAGGGTGCCCAAGGACAAGGACAGGGACAAGGACGTCTCTGGACACGAGCTCTTTGCTCGTGCTTGTTGCTCTTCTTGTCGCTGCTGCTGCTGCTGCTGCGGAAACTGCTGATTGTTCCCGTTTTCGTCCCGCGAAAGGCCGCCCGGGGGGCTACGGATCTTCTCGGTGGGACTGCTCCTTCGAATCCTTTGCCCCGGACAAACGGCGGGAGGGGCGTTCCGAAGGGCGTTGCGGGGTCGGAGGACGGGAAGGTCCTTCGTGCTTGGTTGGCTTCTGCTGCTTCTCGAAAACAGCACCAGTGGAGGGTGGGCTTCTTCCGGTGGCGGCGATGGCGGCGGCACCATTGGCGACGACCAAGGGGGGATCCCGAACGAGGAACTCGGGGAAGTGGAGTACGATGCGGTCACGGAAAGAGCAACCTGTTCGGGCTCGGTGGCCGGCAGGAAGGCTTCTTGCCTCGCAGCCCAGGGAGACCCCGTGGACGGTCCTTCCCATTCGTGGAAAAGCTCGCGATCGTGTTCTGGGTGCGGATCGCACCGGTTGCCCGATCGCTTCTTGTTGCTGTTGCTGTTGTTGTTGATGTTGATGTTGTTGCTATTGTTGCTGCTGCTCCCGCCGTGGCCGTCCGCTTCGCTGTCCTCCAGAGAGAACATCTCGGACAAGAGCGAAACGCGAGGTGCATTGCACAGTTGCATGTTGATTCTTGCGAGAATACTATATCGTTCAACACTCTGGGAGTAGTTCCGCGGCTGGACAATGTCGTTGTTCCGCTTGGATGTTGGTGTGGCAATGTGGTGTGGCAATGTGGTGTGGGTGCTATGGTGTGGGTGCTATGGTGCGACGACTTTGGTGTGGTGTGTTCCAATGCAGCCTGGTCTCTCGTCCTCGTTCTCGTTCTCGTTCTCGTCGCTTCGACCGGTGGTTGGCCCAAGTCCGAGAGAATCGGAGTGTACGGGTTCGGGCCAAAATCGGATTCAAAAAAGGGATGCACCGCATGCTCTACGGGTAATGGGCTACCGAGGTACGTAGCAGTATCATAGGACGGAGTAGAGGAATCCAAAAGAATCTGGTTAGGGGCACCGACGAAGCGAAGCGATGTGACACGTACGAGTCGTACTTGGAGCGACACCGGGGCACGGTTTCTAGTAGTTTCCAGTGCGAAAGCACGACCCCAACGCCACCCATAGAAAATTGTAAAAACAAATAAGATAAACGGGGACTCTCCTCCACCTATCGCTTTTGGCCTTGTTTATGGAACCCGCGAAGCAAGGACTAGCAGTCGGCCGTTTGTGGGACTGCTTCGAACGACGAATGTACCACCGCGGTTTGGAGCACGCTTCCGCTCCGCACCGGGAGGAACGGACGTGCTTCCCGAAGATTGGCGAAGGGTTGGCGGACGAACGCGACGGGGAATCCATGTCGTACGTAGTCGTATTCTTTTGTTTTAGTAACGGTTGCACAGCGGATACAACTTTTAGTAACGGTTGGGGGCGGTAAATAAAAAACTAGGACCACTTTTTACTTTTTCCCCTCTCATGGAAAGTTTCCGCGGGGACCATTTTTGCGGCCCAAGAATTACTGCTGGTCCGCTGCGCCCCTTCGACTTCTTGTTCTTGGCGGCAGCCAGTTGGATGCAACTCCCACTAGTAGAAGTAATAGTGTGAACAAAAATAAAAACTTGAACAATTCATCCTCCTACTAGTATTTCTTCTCATTGATTTTTCTTACCTCAGTAATCATCCTTCTTCTTGTTGTTGACACCACCACTAGTATGACTTGCTCTTCTACTAGTACCTAGTAGAGGAGTACTAATGAAAGAAGAAGGATCCTCCTGCTGATGGCTGTTCCCCTGGAGTGATGATCCATCATCTCCCTCTTCACCTGCTTCTACTAGTACTACTAGTAGCAGCTTCTTGTTATTGCTGCCAGAGGATTCCCTAGAATTGGCACCAGATTTCTACTACTATTCTGCCAGTATTTCCCTGAGTCAATGCCATTCTTGTGAGTCCCAACCTTTTTGGTGATGGTCAGCAGAAAACCAAATTTGTAATGGACCTGCAGCTGATAAACAGAAGTTAGGTCTATTTTTATGATCTGAAGAATACTTTGTAAGCATGGTCCCTAGTAGTAGTAGGAGATTCCTCCTCTATTTCTTCAGCAGTCAGTCCAAGAAATCTTTCTGCTGGATATTTCACTGATCATGGTATTAGTGGTGGTGGTCCCAACATTTGTACTAGCTATTAGTAGTAGTAGTAGTATTAGTAGTAGTAGTAGTAGTAGTAGTAGTAGTAGTAGTAGTAGGATTACTGGATGTCAGCAAGAACTACTGGTGGTGCCTCCTCAACAAGCCTCCTCTTTGTTCTTTTTCCACCACCAACTAAGTGACCTCTTTTGCCTCCTAGTGGTAGTACTACTACTATATACTAGTAAATGTTCCTGGACTCAGGTCTCAATTATCTGACATCATTCTATTGCATTCAGCACCAAATTTACATGCAAGATATTTTCTAACATTCCACCAATACTATTGCTCTGGGCAGCATTTCCTGTAGGAACAGCAGGAGATGACGCACTACTACTACTGTAATAGAGGCACCTCTCTGATTATTTCGTATTTGGATCGCAACCCAGGTTTTCAAGCGAACACTTAAACTTGAACTCGAAGCGAATAGTACATAGCTCGGTACGTACGTACCGATACTGAAACAAATAAATTCAAACAAATCGTCGTCAGCGATTACACAGAACACAGTTCGCGAAATCCAAATAATGAATTGCCGCAAGACTAATATTTCATGTGAGCGTTCACAAAATTGAAGCGTTGCGCCTGTAATAGATATGGTGATTTTGGAATATCCACGATGCAAGGCTACTCAGCATTGGATGCCACTTCCTTTTATTTTGGAAGATTATAGCAAAAACGACAGTGGAATCGCACACGCGCTGCTAATGCTAGGCATGCATAATATTCAATGCGGTTGCTGCTTCTGAAAGTAAATACGAAATAGTTTAAGCCACAACGCGCAATGTTGACAAAGGGAAGAAACTATTGATGGCTGTTCTTTTGTCAATACCGAACACGCCTGAACAATGAGAAAATCTTATTGGCATCTCATTTCAACATTAGCCGTATCGTTTTTGTCAGTTAAAGCAATGTTTCTTCATTCATTGAGTGCCGACAGCAAGAGTACTTCCACCATCAGAGGAAGGAAAAACATGGAACTCGACGAACGCGCCCAATTTGATGTCCAACTCTATCTCGACCTACAGTTTGTAGACGAGACACTGGCAATGGACTTCGAAACCCTCGACGGTACCAACCCTAACATTCGTCATTTCTGTCGGGCGATTCAAACACAGGTTAGTTACCATTGGAGAACATGAGTATGAATGGCATTGAAAAAGATATCTCAAACAAAATATGCGTCAACTCAACATTTTTGTCATGAGCATAGATTTTTGGTGATATTGTTACAGAAGCAGCAAAAGAATACAATTCGACTATTGTAAATGAGAATAATACGCAGCTCGATTGTGATATTGTGGCGACTTCCAGAGTCAACGATCCAGAGGCCCAAGACGTTTTTGGCGACCGTTTTTTTTCGCTTCAGGTACATATATCTCAGAGAGTTGTTGTAGAATCATTCAATCAAACTCTGTATTTAGAAGTGGTACAATCCATTGTGGAAACAGGTTTTGATGTTGTGAGTGGCGGCCAACGGGAATTCCGAAACAGTCTTTACGTCAACCCCTTGTTTCGCTCCATCATGACAATTAAAATTAGAAGAGGATTGACAGCATCATCAGAACCCCCGTCCTCCGATCCAACAATATTGACTTCATCCACCCCGAGCGAAGATTCATCGCAGAATCCATCTCCAAAGCCCAGTATATCACCCACAATACATCCAAGTTTAAACCCTTCAACATTTCCTTCAAAATCTCCCAGCTTGTCTCCATCTACAAGACCATCTTTGGCCTTAAGCAGTCTACCGTCATTTTATCCCTCGGTAATCCAGTCGACACGACCCACAAAAATCCCGTGCACAGATTCGTCCACCGGTCGGTCTGAGAATCCAACGCCTACCGTTTTTCCCGATATCAATTATAATCCAGCCACAGAAAAAAATTCAAAAAAGAATCCTCGGAACCTCGCAGTGGTTGCCGGGGTTTTGGGTGCTTCTATAGTGATGGCTGTTGTGTCGTTGATCCTTTGTCTTCTATTTTATCGATATAAAAAGAAAGATAGGGATAGATTCATATTTCCAAGCGCAGTACCTTTGAGCCAAAACAACGGTAATTTCATTCCAGGGATAGTAGAATTAGGCTACGATCACCAGTCACTAGCGGATACTACATTGGGAGATCAAACTGTAGGAAGGGCCAAGATACACCTTGCAGGAAACCCTCTCCAGAAAGGACTTGAAAGCTTTGACGAAAATTCTCTATTTACTTCACCTTTTCCCATCGATGAACCGGAACAACGAGCAACAGCAATTACACCGCAATCTGTGCAATCTTCGCTCTCTAGTCAATTGATGGTCCCCCTGGAATATGAAGAAAGTGTAGTATTTCCACCATCCGAATCCGTTTCAGATGATTCAAGCGGGGGCGTAGAAGATCCATCAGTTTTGAAAGAGAATATCAAACGTTACACAGGCGCTGCATTGAAAGTGAAGACATCGATCCCTATCGACATCGACTCCAACGAACTATACTTTGACGATGATCTAATATCAAAGATACATCCTCTCAAACCTCGTTCATCGACAGCATCCAAAAGTGATGACTTTTCCCGCACTCCATCCGATCTCGATGTGTGGTCCTTCGATTTTGAAGACTTTGATAGGGGTTCTGACTTCTACAAAGGTGAAGAATTCTCTAAACCGCCTTCTCTGTCTTCTTCGGCGAGCACACACCATATTCAAAATATTACATCCCCCAAAATTCTTGTCGACAATGAGACAAAATCATCCCCGGTGAAACATCATTCAAAACCAGTGGAAATATTCGCTAACGACAAAGGTGAAAAGAAAATCAATCCGACAAAAGTCCAGGACAATATTGCTCTGACGGACTTGATTTTGGTAGCAAATTCAGAAAAGGAACCAAAATACAAGGCGTCAAATAGAAAGAGTAAAGATAGAAGATTGCCATCATCGCCTTCATCCTCGAGAGAGTCACAGTTGTCGAAGAAGACTACCGTATCCTATTTTTCTCAGAAAACAAAAACCGGGGCTCCCACACTCGAAAGTCTCAGTAATGGTATGGTGAATACTTTAACGGACCTCTTTGATCGGATGGCAATTCCTAAGGTGACCCCAGAAGGAGACGAAGTCGTTTACTCGGACAGGAAAGGTGCCAACACTACATCTCACAGCAAAGGACAGAATGGGCCAGAGGTCATCAACACTATTTCAGATGACGATTCGGGAATGTCAGCAAGCCCGTGGTTAATGGAAAAAATCGAAAACACACTTGGACCAAAGAGTCTCAACGCGGACCTCGCCTCGATGAGTGGAAAATCACAAAAATCTTCCTATTTCAAACCTAAACCGCCTCAAAATAGAAAAAATGAAAGTGAAGTGAGTTTCGGGAGTAGTAGTAACTACAGCCGATTTTCGAATAGTGACGTCGGATCAATCATGTCGGCAGTATCCTCATCAATGTCCACTGATATTTTTGTTCAGAAGCAACCAGAAGAAATCACCTTTGTGAAGACATCGAGGAATACCCTCGAAGATGGCATCAAACGTCTCGAGATGCAATTGGCAGCATTAGATCAAACAGAAAAGGATGATACTACGTCATCTGTGACCATGTCAAGTATCACTGGAGGCAGTTTCTCATCTATCTCTGGAAAAAGCCGCAATGGTAAAAATAGAAAAAGAGTGCTCGTGATAGTCCCTCCAGGAAAGTTGGGGGTGATCTTGGCAGATCAGCACGATGGGAATGGGACAGTGATAAACAGCATTAAACGCGGATCACCAGTTACTGGTGTATTGAAACCAGGAGATAGGCTTGTAGCTGTTGACGAAATTCCAGTAGTCGAAATGAGTTGTAGCCAAATAACAAGTCTTATTGCATCCCGAGCTGATCGTAAGCGGCGGTTCACTGTGATGACAACCGTTGCCACTAAGACCAATAGAAATATAAATTGATTCCATTCGCAAGAGAAAGAAATTTGAGGTCATCTGTTTAAAAAGTACCAAATTCAAAAAGAATATCTATCTGTTATGTGCATCATTCGATTCTTTAATGCAAAATATTACCCCAAACACGTCGTATAAACAAACTTCCAGTGTGTGAAACACAACCAAATAACTTTAATGGTGTCTCTTGACTTCAATAAAGGTTGGGCAAAATTTAGTTGTAGAAGTAAGACAAGTCCAACATCACCTGTTTGTTTTATATTTCCCCGGCTACGACAATGTTGTTTGATCCTGCTGCATTTTCGTTTGACGAGAATGCTCGCGAAAAGCTGCCTCCGACTGCAACATAGTATAGCTCTCCCTACCCGACTTGCGTTTCGCCTTCACAACTGTCTCCTTGGAATTCGAGGATGAAAATGACTTCGACTGTCCTCTCCCATTGCTTTGCAACTTCACCAAACTTAATCCGAATTCTCGGATCATTTTCCGGCTCGAGGCGGACCTCATGGTTGCTTCTGCAAGCGCCATGGGATTCCCCCTCTTGGATGTTCCATTTCCTCCTTGTTCAGTAGCAACTTCGACTTTCTCGTTCGCCGTTGAGGGCGCGCCATGTAACTGCTGCATCATGCCGGGATTACTTCCTCTGTTCGGTAACTTGGCTAAATTTGAAACTTGATTCAATAGAGGCGCCGAGGGAACGCTTGAGTTGTTCAGAACTGGACTGCCAATGTCACGAGGGTTCATGCCCATACCAGTTGATCCACGCATTATATTATTGTTGTTATTCATTTCAATATCGCGTTTCTCTCTCGACTCATTCATCTTGTTAGGTAAAGATTGTCGATGACCAAAATTATCCAAATTGACATTATGGGCGCCATTCAGTGATTGCGACATCCCCTGCAGTGCAGTTTGTCCACCTCGTAAATTATGTGGACCGTAATCATTCCTAGACGCTTGATTTCCATTCATGTGTGCCATATCACTTGGTGGTCCTGATGTTTGGTTCATTCGGTTCATCCCGCCTTGATGTTGTCGAAAGCTCCCAGCATAGTAGTTCTGTTCTATATTTTGTGGTCCATTCAGAGACCTTGACATTTGCCCCCCTGTTGAATGCGATCCTCTGTGTTCCTGACGATGACCTTGGTGATGCCCTTCGAAACCACCGTTTCCGCCACTACGTGGGATACCGTTCACCGATTGTGACATCATTTGTTCAGAGCTCAAACCATTCAGAGACCGAGACAAAGATTGAATTCCCCTTCGGTTGGATAAAATGTTGTTACCGTTCCTAGCACCATTCTGATTGGAAATATTTCCATCGTTCGTGTTCTGGATGCCATTCAGAGAGTTGGACATTGAATGTATACTCCTATGCTGCGTCATATTTCCATCATTACTCCTGTCCATCATGTTTTGCTGCGGCAGTCTTCCGTTGTTGCTGCGGTCCATCATGTCGTGTTGGCTATTGGTTTTGACGTGATTATCCATTCCCTGTTTACCACCAGCTATTCCATTGAGCGAATCAGACATGGATTGTATACCCATCCGTGACGTGATGCCGCCGTTATTGCTACCGTTCATGCTCTGATTCTGCATCCTGCCGCTGAGAGAGCCGTTTAGTGATCTAGACATGCGCAATCGCATATTCTGCGGGTGAGTATGCTGGTGCATCCGTGAGTTGTTGACCATATTGTTATTGCTGTGTCCTGGAATTCCATTGAGCGACTGCGACATTCCTCCGACAACCTGCTGTTGGTGACGCATGCTACGACCATGACCTCCGAAGTTGTCTTCATCGCTATTCTTGTAATTTGGCAAGTTTTCTGGAGGATGTGCCATTGTGTGTGGAGGGCCGCCCCGTCGCATTGAGTTCATCTCTTGTGTTCGATCGTGTGAGCAAAAATCGTTGTCGTTCCCGTTGGCACGCATGTCGTCTGGAGAATGTCTACCTTTCAATGAATGAGGTCGCATCGAATTATCAGGATATAGTGGTGGTTGATGTGGTCCCTGTTGATGATGCCGTGGATGGTCGCCACGGAATGAATCAACACCGCTGCGCATGTTGCTTGGAGGCCTGTTATAGGAGTCTCTTGAATCATATGGGCTGTCTCTTGGAAAGTCTCTTGTACTTCCGTGACTGTTGTAGGCGTTGTCGGTGAAGTTCTCGGGATAGCCCTGAGGTTGGCGTTGATGTTCATTATAATGATGGCTATGATGATCATGATGATCATGATGATCATGATCATGATGCTGGTGGTGGTGGCGGTGATGACGACGGCGGTGGTGGTTATGATGATCTTGATGCTGGTACCCATGTTCTTGTCGATCATGACGATAATGGTCACCCCTCATTTCATAGTGTTGTGGCATCTGATCATGATCCATATTTTCGTGCTGAACCTCTCTGATTTTTTCCTGAACCTGCAATATCCTTTGCTGTACTTCAGCAATGCGCTGGGGGTGCCTCTTTTGCCGCTTACCACTTCTTGGATGCCGATTACTGGATTGTCGCTCCGTTGGTGGATTGAAATGCTCTTCGTTATTACCTCCTGCATTGTTGTAATGGGAAGGATGATCGTACTCCGGTGGTGAATGACCATGATCTCTCTCACTACCACCAGAACTTGGATGTTCATTCATGCTAACCTGTCGATGATCGTATTGATGTTGATTTCCATCAATCATATCGTCAACAGGCGGTGAATGGGCAGGTGAATTGAAGAACCCTGGGCTATTCCTACTATTGCTGCTGGTGTTGTTACGGTTGCAATCGTGGCCATTGTCGTTCCTCAAGCATTCGTCGTAAAAGTTTTCGTTGTTTCTGTCGTCCTTCGAAGGGTAAGAGGAGATAGGGGTTGTTCGCATCGTGTTCTGTTGAACATGAGGCGAATCATTGGAACTTACACCCTCAGTTCCTCCGTGTATTTGTTCTAAGTATCCTCCACCATCCTCATCCTCTTCAACGTTGATCCCTAATTCATCAAGATCATCGATATCCTGATCGAGAGGTTGCTGTAGTAAACAGGTGGGATCAAAAACTCCGTCATCGTCGATGTCAACTCCGGCTCGGAGCATACTTTCCAGATCTGGCTCGCTGCTTTCATCGACAGCATCTCTCACCATGATTTCCTTATTTCGCTATTTTGGATTAGATAAAGTCATATACAGAGATTATTATCAGTTTGTGTTTGCTGCAAAGTTAAGGTCGAGAACTATGATCTTCAAGTTCAATTCTCGATATAGTATGATCATGCAGACTTACCACTATGCTCCGACTCTTACTTAGGAACGAATACTATGACACAACGTTACACAAAGCGCAGATCTTTCTGTCCCGGTTATTCAGGAGAAAGGGTAGAATGCTGTTCCCTCCAATGTCGATAAACGATTCAGTCAATATTTCGTGTCGCAATGGTTGTACAAATATTTGGCAATGAACTAGCGATGAGAGCTGTTTGGTTGACGATGCTCGAGGTTTATTGTTTTGGTGCCGTCGTTCAATTCCGTCGCAGTCTCGTGCTAGTTGCATTCCAACGTACGAGGCAAACAGGTATCGTACTGTAAACTTGTACACTAGAAGCCGTGAGGAGTAACGATTTTAACTGCCGATATAATGATTTTTACACGAGTGCACAATCAACGTACGGGGCGGAACGGTAACATTTTTCGCGAGTAAGCGAGTTAAAGGTGTTTCTTACTTCCAAGAAGCAATAGTGCTGAAAATGATGATACTGCAGATAGATAGTAAAAATGGCAATAAAATGTTTTTCAACGCACTGAATTTGCATTAGTTTGTGATCTTGATAACAATTATCGCCGTAAAGTGTTAAATGTTCTACGATTCTCCAAAAATATTCAGTAGTATAACCTTCTATTGCCTTCTTTAGTTGACTAATTGATCATGGTAACACCCTTGAAAAAATTGGAATAAGATTAAAACCTACCTGTGCTACGAATACGGTTCCAGGAAGGGTTGACCTCATCGTTTTTAAGGGCGTAAAAATCCCCAATATAAAAACGACAGTCTCATTTGACTCTGTACTTTCGAGCACCGAATGTGTCACGCCATAACGGTATGTTTTTTCAAAAACTTGTATTACAGTACGTACGTACTTGATGTAACGTGATACCGTACGTACTCGTACCTATTGTGGTCTTGGGTTTGCTTGCTTCGTGTAAGCTCGACGATTTCGTTTTCCTGAAAATTCATGACGGTCAAAAGCACGAACCGGAATCGATTCGTGGAGCAGCATCTGGCAAGTCAATTGAGCAAACCACGACTCGAGGATATTTCTTATTTAATCTCTGCTGTTGAGCTGCTGCTACGTGACGTAAACTAGTACTAGTAGGTAGTTGTAGTAGTACTACTACTGCTAGTAGTTATGCTATTATCGAAGTACTAGTAAGAGTATTAGTACTATTAGTAGTTGTAGTACTACTACTACTAGTACTAATGATACCTGTTACTACTACTACTACTACAACAACAACAACAACAACAACTACTACTACTAGTACTACTAGTAGTAGCAGTGGTGTGAACACGCTGGACTGAAGCACCAGAATGATTTTAAAGTTCTTGTTGATGCTACTACTAGCAGTAGTGCTATTTTTGTCCTGTTGATGGTTTTTCTTGCTCTTTGTTGTCACATTGATCCTCCTAGTGTTCTTGTTCTTGTTCTTCTTGCATTCCCAGCAGCCACAAAGTTTGTCCCCTTTGTTGTTGTTGTTGTTCTTTTTGTTCTTGCTGCTTGTTTTTGTTGTTCTAGTAGTAGTAATGAGAGAAGAAATGTACTAGTAGATCATGTGATCACCAGCACCATGTATCCTCTTCTAGTACTTCTACTACTGCTTCCACTACTGCTTCCACTACTGCTTCCACTAGTACTACTACTACTAGTACTACTACTAGTACTACTACTACTACTAGTAGTAGTAGTAGTAGTAGTAGTAGTAGTAGTAGTAGTAGTAGTAGTAGTAGCACTTTGTGGCTCCTCCTGCTGGGTGTGGTGAGAATCACACTACTAGTAGCACTACTACTAGTAGTACTACTAGTAGATACTTGTCTTAGTACCATACTACTAGTAGTAGTTGTAGTACTAGTAAAACAAGAAATTGGTGTGCGTCTTCTGGTGGTGGCCGGTGAGTTTTGTGTCATGTTTCTCCTTGTTGTTCTTCTTCTTTTTTATTATTTCTTACTTCTGGTTTGTCTTCTACTACTATTAACTAGTACTACTGCTCCCTTTCACTACTACTAGTACTAGTACTAGATAAATGAAGAATGAGTACTAGTACTAGTAGCAGTGGTAGTAGTGGTAGTAGTAGTAATAGCTAGTACTGCTATTAGTAGTACTACTACTATTACTAGGAAGAGGAGTTCTATCACAACCAGATAATCAGTGGAATAGTATCCCTACTGAATGCCCTTGCAACTTGTAATTTTTGTTGAAAATTGTTCTATATCTCCTCAACACCAGCATCCAAATGTACTAGTAGCTAGTACCACCAGCAATAGCAAAAAGCCTCCTACTAGTTCCTCCTCTACTACTACTACTACTAGCTCATAACCTGTGGGAGTGACTGTCCTAAAAGAGATGTAAAGTGTGTGCTAGTAGAAAA